GCGGGGGCTCGGGGGGCGCGCTGGCCGGGCGCTTGACAGGCGCCGCGTGCAGCTTGCGTCCCTCGTCCGCGGTGCATCCGTGATGGGTTATAAAAGAGGAGGAAAGTAGTTCTCCTTGCTCAGCAGATTTGCCCTCCCTCGCTCCTTACTGGTTAGGAGATAGAACGTGAGCCCAGATCCGGACGAGCAGTTCACATTCCATTACGAAATTCTACACGGCTGCAGAGCCAGTCCTAGCACACTTTTCGGGCACTTTGGAGGGGGCTTTTTGCTTCTTTTGGAAGATGCTAAGCGTTGCTGGTGGTGGTGGTGGTGGTGGTGGAGAGAAAGGTGAATAAAAAGTGGAATTTTTGGCATGCCGAAAAACCTGTCCTGGGGTTTTCCACTGTAGTTCAGTTCACCCTTGTCCTTGCTTCAGAGTTTAGATTTAAGCTGAGCCCTTTAAAAGCCAATGGAAAGAAAGGTTCCCTTTTGGATAGGGATGCTGGAAATTGCGTGGTATAGCTCACTCGAAGCAGAGTTCAAAGAGCTGTGCAAAGTCTGAATTGCTGTTGTGTGACCCTGTTTTTGAGATTTCCCCCATTTTTGGATAATGTAGTGATCTGTGCATGTGTGTATTCTGAAATAAGTGAATTGAAGTAAAATGTGGGTAATGGGACTGGCAAAGCAAAGACTTGTTTCATATTTGTGAAAAGCATCCTCTAGCTTCGGTGCTTTTTTGAGTAGGCAGGTATGGTTTCTAAGACATAATTAAACCCGGAAGTCCGAGTTAAGAGGCTAAAGGCTTGGCTAAAAACTCCTTTAAAAAAAAAAATTATGCTTCCTTCGAGAGTCCACAGAGCTTTTGAAGGCATGAGTTTGAAATACTCTTCAAATAATATATGCAAAAATGGACCACTAGTTTTACTGTTTTTTAAAATTTGGTTTTGTTTTTTTACCTCTGCCCTTTGGAAGGAGCTTTCTGGATACTGGCTGATGGGTCCTGCTTTGATGTGTTTTTAAGCTTTGGTTACACTGATGAATTAAACATTTGAATGGCTTTAATCAAGTTTTAAATGTGTGAAAAAATAACCTTCCTTCCTTGTTTTTACAAAAGAAAGGGAGAGAGGAGCTCTTTGATTTAATTGTTCCCCTTTCTCCATCTTAAGCTAATGAATTTGCAATTTTATCATTCTTAAAATTACTGCTACACTTGAGTTGTCCTTTAGGCTGTTTTGTTTTTAGAGGATTTACTTGAATATGTGATACTCTGAGATGCTGCAGATGCTGACTGGTAGTATATGGAATATAATTCTCTGGGCTTTCCTGGATGCCACTTCCTTTTTCATGAGAAATTCAGGCTGGGCGCCCTCGTGGCAGACAAGTGTTTGTTGTGTAATGAGCACGCATCTGACTGTGCTGGTACAGGTGGTGCAGCCATTCCTCACCGTGGACATCATCCAACAAGTGACCTTTTGAGTGAAGGGTCTTTTATTTTAGATTCTCTGGCAGACTCCTGAGGTCTTACACAGGTACAGACCGCTGGAGGAGGAAAGTAAAATGTAACTTCATTAGTCCTGCATCTGATCAACAGCTGCTGATTGCTGTCAGCCAGGCACTAGCTAGCTGTTCCTAGGGGACTTTCATTTTTCACTCTTCAATCTGGAACTGCAATGTGGTTCCACTTCCTAGGTCAGTTTGGAAGTCTTTACTTGCTATCGTATGCTCACTTAACGTCTTATCATCAGCTAAGGAAATTTCTTAGCTAATGAAAAAAATCTACTTTTGTCTGGTGTAATTAATATAAATTTAACTCGTACAAAAATTGTTTAAACATGCTCTCCAGAAGCAGCCAGAAGTGAATCCTTTTGATGTTTCTATTCATTATGCTTCTGAAAAATAGGTGGTGCTTAGAAGGTCATAGGATAAGGGTTGCTAAGCAGCTAAACAGAAGGATGCTAAAATTAACCAAAGCATTTTTGAAAGGGAGTCCTTCCCTTTTTTACATTATTTACTAGGTTTAATTAATTTCTGAATCTTCCATGTTCTTTGACCTAGGGAAGGTAGGATGTGAAAGTTGATTTTGTTTTTGTAACTTTATTTAAATCTCTGTTTTGTGTCTTTAATTGAAGTTCAGTGTTCTCTGACCCGGCCTTGTGGTGTCAGATGGCAGCTTGTCTTGTCTGTTTCCTATGTGTTGAGGTTAAACCTTCCCAACCTTTCACATGTTAATAACAGATTTTTTTTTTTTTTAGCCTTGGAAATTCTACCTAATCCATAAATTGATGTCTTACCTTTATTCTTTATTCAACAGATCTGCATTGAGAAGATAGAAATGCAATACAGCACCAATAGAAACTATGCGGGACAGTCTCTCTTGATAAGGGGACAATGGTTTTCTTTCCTCCTTCCCTGAGATACCATTCTTTTAGATTAGGTCCTCGATGGCCCCTGCTATCACCCCCAGCCCGCTGCTCAGTTTATACAGCCCAGTGCATGAACACTTTTTAAAAAACAATTATATTAGCTTCAGAATATCTTCTGAAGGACTGACCGAATGTTAGAAAACAGAAAGAATTGTGATTTGCATTACATTTTCAGTGGATTTTGGCGGAAGGCATGGTTGGTGGCCATCCATCACCTTGGTCGGATGCTGGCCTGCTATGGAAGAAGTTCCTCTGCCCGAGTCATTGTTACCTGGGACCCAAGCCCCGTGGAGTCACATTTCTCATATGCAAATGTAATTAAGAAAATGGTAAATCATTTCTTTCTGTTTCTTTTCTCTCTTGTTTACACTTAGAAAGTGGTTTTTGAATAGAAATAGTCCAGGCCTCCTTCAAAAAGCAAGAGTCAAGAGAGTGAGTTCCAAGCCCAGGGTGGGGGGCTCCACATAAATCAGAGGTAAAAGGTGCACCATCTGAAACCCAGAGGGCGGCATGCGATGTGCTTTCTGAAATGCATCGCTTACTTTTAATTTCCCCACTCCCACATGGAAGGCAGACCACAGCGAGGAAACGGCCGCTGGTGTTTTCTTTACGGCCGAGGTTGAAGAAGGAGGAAGGTGGGAGGGGCTTTTCCCAGTTAGCAGCCTCGTTGGGCGGTGCCATCAGCCGAGCTTTACTCAGTTTCTCCCGGTGGCCCTGCAGGCTCGTTGGGCGCTGGAGTGTGTGTAGGGCGCTGACTGTGCTATCGGCCGCCCGGGGCGGGGAGGAGGAGGAGGAGGGAGCTGCCCTTGCTGTCTCTGGTGCATCTTGCTCGCCGTGGTCCGCGGGGCACAGGTTAGCCGTCTGCCCATCGGTAGGGGTGGCTGCCCGCGAATGAGTGCTGCAGACAAAGCAGTGGGAGAGGGTGGAGACTGTTTGTTCTGTGTGATTCAAACAAGTAATGCTGAGAGAATTTGAAAACCTCTGTGAAGGCCGGGAAGGACTGCTCCTGAAGGGATTCACCTGAGGCTTGCAGGACTGCTTGAGGGCGGGGTGGAACTCACTGGGTGGAGAAAGAATGAAATCCCCCACTGGCTTTGTCAGACAGCCAGACTGGAGAGAAAAAGTCTCAGTGGGGGTAATTAGATAAAGCTTTTAAATGCTCTATTTGTTTTTCCCCTGAGCTTGCTTGGTATTTCATCCCTTTTTCGCCCTTTTTTCAGAGACTGTGTGGTATAAAAAAGTTAGATATGCCTGGTGGTGGAGTTACTTCTAAAATTTCTCATCTGAGTGTACCTTTTTGGACCAAGTTAGTTTCATTCTGCTTTTGTGGAGGCCTTTGGTGAAGTTGGGTTTTATGCTCAGAGCAGCATTATTTTACAGCTAAATCCCTGGGCCCTCCTCGGGCTGGTAAGAGACCATCCCAGACCCGGAACTCCCAACTCCAGCCTAGCTCTGCTCTTTAGAATCAGCATGGCCTCAGAGGATGTAGCCAAAGATATACTACTGCCTGTTTATCTTGCTTCCAGTGTGTTGTTTGGAAACAATGCTAGATCCTTTTGCAACTAATTCTGTGGATGCATTTGAAAGTGTAAGGGGATTGCAAAGGAAACTTTAGCCCTTGGCAGCATCGTTGTTGGTGAATGTGATTATACACCTCTTTTCCTTAGCTTGCTTACCTCATGGGATTGTTGGGAGGGTAAAATTAATGTTCCAGAAAGTCAAAGTCTATATATGGGAGAAAGCGGTATATTTTGAGCTCAGGAAGCTTTGTGGGTATCCACTCTGGATTTCCTTCCCAGAATTTTACACAACTCCATTACCTTGGGCAGTATTTACCCAGCAGTTTCTGTTCAGATGGAGGAAATGCATCCCCAGGAACAAGGAGAACTAGCAGATTCTT